GTTCACTGATCTTACAAGACTATCGTCTACAGATCTCTCGTGGAAGTTGACAACACATATCTCAATCGATAACCCATTGGTCCTAGCTAACACTGGGACCAAGGGATTGCAACGCGGACGAAACTAACCGATGAACCATTCAAGGTTAAACAGCAAGGAAGCTCACTTTGACCGTCTGTGAATCCAAGCGCACTAAATATGACATTGCATGGGCCACGGCAGCAACCGTTGAGATTTTCGACCTTATAAGAAAAACGCCGAAATACAAAACGTTTACGCACAGAAGAGAGGTTCGGCTATGCGCAGGAACATCAGACATTGATGGTACTAAGCCTGGAAGCAGACAGGCGCCTCAGAGGCTGCTTTGAAGCTGAATATTATAACCTTTCGCTCATGTATTAGGTCTTCTAACCCCTTAGTTCGTAGAGCAGATTTCTGCTCTCCAACTTGGGATGTAACAATAACAGTGGCAATAACAATGACAGTCGGTTGACCTCGCAAGTTGTGCTGAGCATGCCAACTGAGGCGTTATCAGGCCGCTACGACCTAAGCGCGGCGGGTTGCAGCACTTTGGAGAGGAACGAACAAACAAGGAACACGTCCATCTCGTGACAAGTCACCGTAGTTTTGCGTGCCAAAAAACTAGAACATTGAGGCATGAGGTATGACTGGTTCAATTGGCGTACTGCTTATAAATTGGAAAATAAATTTATTAGTAGTGATTCAACAATGAACTAAGGCTGACAAACCGTTGCAGGTAGAAAGTGATTTTGAGCGTTGACCTTGGTCAGGGTCCGGAAAAGCCAAAATGGAGATTAATGGATAGAAAAATAGGAATTGGAGATAAGCTTTCAAGTTTCAAATCAGGAGTATGGCTTACACTGAAACATATTAGATTCACTCGTATTGTTGTTGGAAGGAAGTCAAATTTACAGGATATTTTGTATATGGGGCTGGACGATCACCGTGAATAAATGTTATGAGACAGTCTGCACGGCTGTTGAATCACCTGACCGACCGATTCGTGTCGTACGACCAAGGCAGACTCAGCGTCCGTACGAAACGTTTTTGACAGCAAAGTACGGTGTTTCGCAGGCGTATAGCGACTGTCTTGGCCGTTGTCAAGCAACGTCGTTGAATAGATACTGGTAGTCGATTTGGCAGGCGGTAAACGATTTGAAATGACTCATTGGCATGACTACGTGCCCGGTGTCAACTAGGTGGGACGCGATTGAGCTCTTGACCGAACTGTTCAGGTTAGTGTTATTCCGGTAAGAAAGGTGCTCATGTATTCTCTTAGAAAGCTGCCGTGTCGTGCGCCCAAAATACTCCGCCGAAAACAACAGCGGGAGAATGAATACAGTCATATGCTTGGTGAGTACTGACATCCTGGCTTTGAGGTTTAAGTTGAGTAAAGGGTTGTGTATAAACCAAGATCGCAGAGTTCGAGCCGTTGTAGGGATTGAAACAGACGGTGATTGAATGTGTTCGCGAACAGATTGTTTTTATAAGGTAAACTCTCAGTCGTTGTGACTGTCGGTTTGATAGAGCGATAGGATACATCCTTGGTTATAAATCTCTCCGGGCACTTAGCCAATCCAAGTGAGTCATTTCATGTTATTTACCGTGTACCCAGGCGAATGTCATTATCTGTCCAACAGCTTAGCTTTACTACAGCCGGGGCAGTCGCTATGCGGCTGCTGAACCCNGCTGACGGAAACGCTTCGTACGAACGCTGAGTCCCTCTCGATCGTGTGACACAAATAAGCCGACCAAGTCACTCAACGGCTTTCTGGACCGTCTGACAGCATCCAACTAAGTGTAACATGGTTGCGCAGAAAACCATGTTCTTATCTCCACATTTTGCATTTCATTGTCCAAGCTTCGCTGCATTTTTAATTTTTCGCTCCCATCTCAACCAGTACTTATGTACTGACATGATAACGAGATTTTGATAACGTTAATGTTTGTCATTGTGTTCTTGTTCAAACCAAAGGGTATTTAGAAAACATGATTGAACCTGTGAAATGGGCGAGGTAAAATTGCAGCTGAAAAATGCGGTGATTAAATCTGAGCGAACGATTCAGCAGGTCAGAACAAGTTTGTTACAGGGGTGGTTGGTGCTGAGTGAAAGGCTTGTTCAAAGTTTCAGTTACAGGCCCAAGTGGGCATGGCACGAAAGCTGAAGGCAAGGAAGAGAGTCGTTGGAGTGGGAACGGAAGTGCCGCGCCATCATTTCACTGGTATAATTTGGTTTCTGGACAGCCCCGTGACGGGCGTCAAGGCTGCTGTGGTCGGACAATGGATGGTCATTCGTTTGGCGGCTGAATTTGGACTGGAAAAAGGGGTGATACAAAGAGAATCAGGCTTTCGTGGAGTCACGGGTAATTTTGATTAAGTTTGAGGACCATGTAGGTGCAAACTGGGACCAAACAGATGGCATGAATAACGGCCTTGTGGTGCGTTCTGGGCAGCTACTGCCAAAGTTCAAAGTTTTGGNATGGACCTAGGAGCACCTGAAGTAGCATAGTTGACTTGATGAGTATTTATCATATAATACATGGAGCTGACAACGCGAGAGATTACAATTGGTGGTTAGTACTTCTTGCGCTTTCCAGTGAGTGTCAGTCGATCGAAATTCGTTATGCCATGACTTGACCACAAACCGTCTGAGTCTACTCAACAAACATTTTTGCGGATAGCGTCCCTAAAAGGGCCATCCATACTGGCGCTAACGGAGACCTGGCTCCAGACAACAGTCTCTGCCGCGGAGACATTGATAAAACGCCGTTCCGTTTTCTGAACTGATTCAAAATGTGGAAGGGTGGGTGGCCTTTCGTTGTTTCCCAATTCGACAGTGCGCAGTCGGATACCTCCCTTCAACACGCCTTTTGCACCAGTTTATGAAGCACTGTGGACCGCTTTTCTTCTTCTATACTTCGCCTACGTTTGCCACTTAGCTACGCAGGGGGACGACCTGTTCCTCAAACTTTTCTCAGAAAGACTTGATATCTTGGGGTTACAAAGCAAGCGCGCTGTTGATGGGTTTCCACGCTGGATAGCAGTGGACACCTGGCTCTCACCCCCCTTAAATAGGGACAGTCTGCAAATGATTATTTTGTGCACGGTGAGAAGGAACCATAGGAAAGTATGGAGATAGATAACAATAAGTACTTAAGTGCCTGTCTGTCGACAACCTGTCTGTCTTCACTGGACCATGAGACATACACCAAATGAACTTCAAACTTTCGTCGCTTCGCATCACACGCATGGACTTACAGATATTCCATAGAGTCAAGGTCGGACCACTGCTTGAATATGCCAGCCAAACTGTCGAATATGTACGCAAGAACGACATTACGCCCCTTGAGCATGGCCAACGATCTGCTACGAAATTGATTGTTGGCCACAAATCCGTTGAGCATCTCGAGCTACCTGAACTCCCCTTGGATCATCGTCACTTCAAAGAGGAACTATTCAACAATTATACCACGTTTGAGCAACGTAGAGCCGACGAACTCACCGTTGACCAAACAAATACGCTGCGAGGATATGGTGAAAGGATTTTCAAGCTCAGGCCTCATTCTTTAACTGGAAATTTTTTTAATTTCGGATAGTTAATGTGTGGAATAGGCTCTTCTCTTTCTGAATCCACACTGCATCTAGAGCCCAGTTCATACCACCTTTGTCTTTTAGGTCCGTGCTCGCAATGGAAATCTTCCTGCGGGACGCTGAGAATTCAGAGAGTGGTGCTGCACTTTCTTTTCGCTATTGCTCTTAAGGTGAACAGAAAGCGTGGGCCAACAAACCCGGCCCTGGAGGCCAGGGCTAAAACCTCGACCCTGTGTACCAATCTGCAAACGCATAGTTACCAGTCGATCTTTTTGTGACCTTGAATAAATAACCGCGTTCCTTAATGTGACGTTGGTGTTTTCGCGCAAAGGAGCCATCCGTCATTTGTTCATCACACTATGATCAGTTCCAACAGACCAGTCAAAATTGTTGTTCTTGGAGACGGCATGGTTGGGAAAACATGTCTATTAATGACATACACAAGTGGACACTATCCTTCAGAATACGTGCCCACAGTTTTTGAAAATTACTTGGGTTCCGTTAATGTTGACGGGAAAGAGCTAGCATTCGAATTATGGGATACAGCTGGTAACTATGCGATGCGCTTTGCTAGCCCGTTTAGGACAAGAGGAATATAGTCATTTACGACCCCTCTCATATCCAAATACGGATGTGATCGTTTTGTGTTTTGTTTCTGTGAGGATAAGTTCCTTGGAGAATGCAGAGAAGAAGTGGTGTCGAGAGATATCTCATTCGGAACATCTCCGTGGAAAACCCATCATACTTGTTGGAACGATGAGCGATTTACGCGAAGAGGTAACAAAAGTCAACGCATCTTCTGTCATAACATACGAAAAAGTGAGTGTTGGGGTTACTAGTGGCTAACTGGACATGTTCGTATTTCTTGACCGGCCAGAGGTTCGGTGACTTATCATGTTTTAGTACCGCATGGATGATGTCAGAAGTATTAATGTATAGTTTATGATAGCCATAATATACCTTAGAAGGTATATTCGCTGATAATAGTTTTTAATATAGTTAACAGGTTGCACTTGGTGAGTTGAACTATGTATCGAATAAATGCAATGTGAACAGTGAAATGAGCGGTCTTATCTTTCGTGGATAAATCATGAGAGTTCTTATGTGAGAGCCGGGACGGGGGAAGGTGTTTTTTCCGCACTATAGCTGCTACACGTGTTTCGTATTTGTCGGTGGGATTGTAGAGTTTGGTTGACTCCCCGCCTCTCCTGCGCACACGAGCATGTGTGTGATAACTGCGTCGTGTCTCCATATGTAGGAAGGTTTTACATGTTCATACTACCTGGAATAGTTCCGACGCGTACAAGACGGGAACTGACTTGTTGTCAGCGTCGGGAGCAAAACGTTCTAGTCACCCAACAGTGAACCAATATAAGTAGATGTTTTCAGCATTGCGGTGTAAGCGGTCGCGAGTATATTTGTCACTTACATAATGTGCTGTCTAGAAATGCTGAAATATAGTTTGCGGACTTTTTGACTTATATAAATGAACGCGGATCTAGTATCTTGCCCGACTTAAACCAGGTAATTGCTCAAAGTTAATTATGGCTCAGTGTGACGACCAATTATGTTGCAGCTAACTACAAAAAGTTTAAAAGTTGGATTCATCAAACGGATATATATGTATGATGAACAATCATGTGATAATGGATTACAGAGTACGCCAAAATCTTAGCGAGCCAATTCGGAGCATAATTTGGGAAATTTTCCATTTGAGATTAAGGTTTACATTGAAAACAAAATATTGGGGCGCTTAGACACTTGTCTGGTAGAAACATTTTGTTGACTTGCTCAAAGCTGAACACTAGTCGGATCCTAAGATTTGTAGAAGCTGAATAATTAACTCTATATCGTTTTGAGGAATTACAGTATATATATATATATATGTATATATATATATATATATATATATTCACCCAATAAATTTCTTTTGCTGCTAAAAACTCTAAAACGTATTTCGTTTGGACAAATTTTTCACAGATTTGGGTAATCTGCATAGAATGTCAGTATGCCCAAGACTGAAGTTGAAACATTTTTCAGCTCAGATTGCATGGTGGCTGCAGAATGCTACTCAATTGTTTTTTGAGAGCGTTGATAATATGTACCACACACACAGCTTGCCTGCTTTGATGGCGAAAGAATCCGTCTATAAACTCCTACGTTAGGCACCATCTTTGACATAGTGGCTCGACACCAATAAACGTCTAAGTTATTCATTTGAAAGGCGAATTCCTTACGTCGTGACAAGCATAGGACTTTAGGTTTATCTACCAGATTCATTCCTCGAATGTAAAACAGAGTTTATTTGACACAGTTGGGTTGGGTCAACTTATTTTTTGGGAAAGGTTAATACGTTAAAATCAGCTTCGTAATACTTATGTCGTTTATTTGTTCTTTTCGCTCCCATTGCAATCCATCGCTGAGTCGAGCACCCTGGTTAACTGTTATGTTACCATTTCAGGGTGGAAAAGTAAGACAGTTGTCTGCAAACGATGTTAAACTCGCGCACCACGTTTTCACTGAAAAAAGACATCAGCAAAGAGTTAACAGGTAGTAAGCGGATGTTAAAAAACGGACCAAAATGACTGAGGGAAACCACAGCATTGTTTTCGGCCCATGTAAACTTGTTTGGAGTGGTTGTGTACATCTATATTCAAGCTTTTATCCATTGTGAAAGGTGTTGTTGCAGTTATGTCTGGATAATAGGACAATAGACATCGTCCCTCTTTTGCCAACAACGAAGGCTTTTTGAAGATCACTAGAACGAAGGTTTTTTGAAGATCACTAGCAGCTAATATATAGGCTGATTCTCCTCAAACAGTTTTCTTGAATCAGTATTGCAGAAAAGTTGAGTCAGTTGTACTGCGATAGCTCCAAACTCCATGTTACTTTTCTGAAACGTGCGTATCAGGTGGGGAAGAGGTTTTTGCAGTTTAACTGACTTTTCAGCTTTGTCGTTAGGTCAAAATGCTTTTCTGCCTTACAGTTGTTTTAAGCCAATCAGCAATCTTGCTCCTGTGGTGGTTAACGGCTCTAAGGAGTCCCTAGTGAACAGAACAAATCAATAAAGTAAGCTAGATACAAGGTCGGAAGAAGAGAAATTCAAGTAAATCTTGGCTCACAGTTCACAATAGGAAATTCCGTAGTTACGTAGTTCCGTATTCCGTTGAACCACAACACCAAGAAGAAAGTTCTACCGTCCATGT